ATAATAGGGATATTAGTTACCTACTTTATAAATATACTTCAATAATAACTCACCGATACAAAGTATGCGCTGGTGCTTGATGAGCTCCCACTGGTGAAGAATCATATAACATACATATATCTCTCATATGTTTTAAAACTGGAAGTACCCATGAACTATTACTTTTAAGTTCATCCACACATTTGTCAAGCCATGCTGTTTTCTGTGCATCTCGGTCCTAATTAATTAATATAAACATTTTATAAGTACTATTTTACTATATAAAAAGTATCATTACTTGTGCACAGCTATAATCCAGAATTTTTACATGGGCAGATAGTGCTTGATCTATTATCTCAGTTGATACATCTTCACCGTGGGCCAAATTCCAAAACAACATTAACACCTTTTTTTAAAAATAATTATTTGTTTTTAATATTTCTAAATATTATGCTGTTTTAAATAAGTTAAATTACTTTATGAGCCATAACACCATCTTTATCATCCTCAGCTAGTCGTCTTATAAGTTCCAATAATTTTTCCCTTTGTTTTTTATTAGCATTAGTCCAATTAGCCTATAGTGAATAATGATTTAGTATTCATTTAAAAATAAATAATATATCGTAATTTAATATTACATGAAAACATTCAAATAAGTGGTCAAGTTGTTCAGGTGAAAAATCCCAAGCAAGCTTTGCTAATAAGTCATGGACATTTTTCACAATAGCATCATGTTTCCCAGCTTGAGCTGCCCATAATGCATCCAAATCATTTAACGATAATGCTTGCTCTTTAATCACAAAACGTATAATTTTTTCAAGTTTCTCAACATACTGTGGTTGATGTAGAGAATCTCGAAGTACTATCTCTAGTACATTGTTTTCTTTGATCCATTTCTATAAAAAAATTATATTTTAATAGATTAAGTTATTATTATACATATTTAAGAAAACTCACAGCCATCTTCTCGGGAGTTAAATATTCTTCATCATGATCTATATGCCTGTGAGGAGTGTATGTGACATTGGTAATAACTTTATTAACTTCATTTAAGGCATTCATTTTGCCATTGAAAGACGATATTTGTAATAATCTATTTATAAAAATGTACATAAAAAGGTTAACATATAATGATAAAATAATATTAATGGTAATAGTTAAATATTTATACATAAATTACCTAAGTAACATTTTAAGCCTAAAAGTCTCTAATTGTTTAATTAAATCATCCTGTTTTGGTATTTTTACAGCAAGCTGTTTACAAGCCTTTATTATAGAAGAAATGGCATCATTCTTTCCTTCATTTTTGGTTTCTTTTTTTAATTCATCGTCAGTTAATACATCCAATAAACTAGGTATTTTCTCCTATAAATTCATAATAGTTAATTTAATTCAGGTTTAAAATACTTAAAAATTTACATACCACAATAGGCATAAAGTACTTAAGAATTGTTGGTTCAGTTAAAAGTTCAGAACAACTTCCAAATGGTTTAATAAGACCAGAGATAATTGATATAGTTAGAGTTTTATTGGATTCAAATCGTTTAGATATTTTTTGAAAACCACCTAAGACTCCAAATCTGAAAAGTAGTAAATTGAAAAATTACAAATTAAGTAATCAACTTTTTGCCAGTTACACACTTATTTAACAGATCAACAAGCCAGCCTTTAGGAGCTCTAGAATCAGGTGGTGTTCTTGCATATAAATCAAAACCATTTGTATCAATTTCTGGTAAATAATCCGAATGTTTAGTGCAGTTGAATAAATGGAATCTGTTGGCAAGTAAAAATTTGATAAACAAAATCAACAACAGTTTAAGAGATAGTATTAAGTATTTACTTATTTAAAGGATTAAACAACATCCCCAACATCTCTAGAAATGGAAAGTTGTCATCGTCAATTTTGAGCACCAACAGTTCTACTAACTTCATACAGTTATTCATGATGTATTGTTGAATATTTACTTTCCAGCTATTAACAGCATCATCAGTTAATATTCGTGTAAATGATAACACCATAGCATCACGAAAAAATTTTTGACATCCTTCATTGTGGACATCTAATCCTTTTTTGCAAAATGCGATTGAGACATTCAACAACGATACCAACTCTTGATCAGGCAATACTGGTACAATCCATCGTTGGCTATGTATCTTCTCTTCCAAATTAACTAGTTTAATAATGGGAAATACCAGTTCTTCTTCCTCCATCTCGTCTTCTTTAAGGATTTCTTCTTCTTTGGTTTCCACATAATTTTCAACACTGTCATCTGCTGATGTTGTGTCTTCGATAGTCTGTTCGGGCACTTGATGTGACTCAATGGCCTGAGGCTGCAAAATGTTGATGTTTGACAGAACATTATGGATTTGTGTATTTTGCTGTGGTACATTCTACAGAAGGAAAAATAATTACTATGTTTCAGAGAAAATATAACATATAGCTAAACACAACCAAACAGCAGGAAATAGTACTTACTTGAACATTTGTCTGATTATCAGCCGAATCCAATCCGACAGTTTGACCACGGGTCGCAATAGTCATCCTGAAACATAAGACATTTTGTTTTGTACAACGACGATACTACGCCTCCACAGCACCAGGAGCGCCAAAATATGTGGGTAGACGTACTATAACGGTCTTAGAGTGAGTATTTAGGAATTATTTAAACTGTAACGAGCATGTTGATGCGACCAGCCGCCGTACTAATGTGATTATGTACGATATTACAGCGACAGACGCAGCCAGTGTTTGGGTGTTCCCTGAAATTTTATCTATTACACCAACTTTAACCCACCAGCCGACGAATATGTTCCCATGTCAGTCATAAAATTATTATCATACTCACGGGATGGCGTTAAAGACGTCCGGAGTCCGACGGCTGTATTACACATACACGACCGGCGGCAAGCCAACGGAGTATTGTTTACGTTTTGTTTCAGTGTACACGCCGGCGAGACGGTGGACTGGCGCGTGTAAATGACGCAAAGCAAACAGTAACAATGATATAGACCTCGAACACGGCAACCGGGGGCGCGGCGTCTGTTTGTCTTTCTGATCGTGCACGTTTAGAAGTATGTTTAGGAGTGACTTAAACTACATAGGTACATGCCATTAATTAAAAATTGCTCTGGCTACGTTCGGTGTACTCTGATTATGATAATACGAAAGAGAGTACTGAGTAGGTATAAAAATAATAACACGTTACCGGGTCTCAAAAAACGCGGTGTCTGAAATTTGTTTTGTTTTTATTATATTAAATTATTTGTTAAATTAAAGCGATACTCGTTCACGACGGAGCGACGGTGCCGCGGTTGTGGTTGTACAATAGATGCATTGGGTTGTGTTTCGTTTCAATATTCAGTGTTTTTGAGAACGAATTTCGGTACGAAATAAAAATCGTATCTCCGGGTAGACCAAGAGGGGGATGTACGACAGCGCGTCGGCGCGACGAAGACCGCTTGATGGGACGGGGTAACAGTGTGTGAGTGAAACAGTTGACCGAACGGAAGATAGAAAATCAAACACAAAAACAACTTGGCCAATCAGCTGATTGGTGCCAAAGACCTTACACAACAACGCCGACAGTGATAAAAAATCTGTAAGTTATCCTTAATGACTAACGAGAGTCGAGAATACGAGATACAAGAATGACCTTAAATGGCTTAAAAAACTTCTATGCTGAAATAGGTACTAATATTAAATATACTAATCTATGAATACTGAATAGGTACTTAATGCTTAATATAGAATTCTGTGCCTTAAAAACACCGTACCGTGTAGTCCTTAGTTCTTCACTCCGAATTATTGAAGTAAGTTCCCAACGTTAGCTTGAAGTTTATCTGCCCATCTATGTTATATATTATATGCTCCAAACTCGACCTTAGTCCTTATCCCATAACTATTAACATGAAGATGATGTTATTTATTTATTTATGCACCACAATTTTTGAAGATAATAGATTTTACACTTCAACTTTACTTCAACAATTTCAGAAAGCCTTCCATGATAACTCGCGCTCGCTCGAACGGAAACAGTGTGTACTACATTAACAGATTTATTATAATTTTTTATTGATGTATACTACTTTTTAAATAAAATTTAATTTCCATCATAGTTTAAATATTAAAGTTTCACCAAGGGCTTATTTTGTTTGGTTAAAATGCAGAGTATAGGATCAAGTTTTTTGATGTTCAAATATGATGATCAAGTCTCAAGTAGGGTCGTGCAGATAACGTCCTACAGGCCACATTAGCCGAGATTTAACGATTTTAGTGTCATTTAACGATTTATTTATTTATCCTCAATTCCATACTACTATAGTATTTATTTTATCATTGTGTTACGAATTAATGTGGTATCGTACCGTAAATGAGTGTCTAATCTAATGCTTATTGCGCCAAACTGGGTTGGCGGCTTGGCGCCTTGTCGGGATGTTATGGTATGAAAATATGATCTGTACTCAGTGTACTCTGTAGCGAGCCAAAGACTACATAAGCCGGCCGCGCGGCCGCCAGTTGCTAGTGCCTATAAAAAGTTGCTACCAAGTACCAGTTAGTAGTAAATAGTGATTAGTGATAACTGATAACGAATCATCGCATGGATTACCACAGAACAGTACGGAGATTACGGAGCTTCAGCTCCAGCTGCTGGCGGCTAGCGCTTCCTGCCGACAACGTCACGATGAATGACGATTGACGATTAAACAATTTTATACTTTGCAATTTTGTATTATTGATTATCATCATTTGTTCAGGTGTCAGGTCTGCTGCCTGCGTTGTACGTGTACTTCGAAGTACGATTGTACGATTGCTGAACGTATGTACTCGATAAATTATTGTAATTATCAATTGTATTAATTTATATTTTATAATATATGTGTTCTGTATACAATATACATATTAATTATCACATTAGTAATTAATATTATTTAATTCAATATTTCAATGTTGACAKTTGACATTTTGTTTTATCTTGTTCTAGTGTTGACTTCCACTCCGTAATAATTATAATACAATAATTTAATAGAGGCCGATAAAACCAACATTTGTTTTGGTTCATTAATCGTTGCATATTACGTTGCTACTGATTTTTCCTGCTTCCCAGCGTATTTTTGGTCAAAGGTAAGTTTATGTTCACCATATTTGTATCATTGTATGATGAACAATGTTTTGATTAAGGATTCATAATTTTATTTACAAACTCTCAAATATACTAAGTTTGTGTGTAGAAATTATAAAATATGATATTTTAAACAATTGTATTGATATCTGTCTACACAAGGAATTGTAACATTTTAGTGTTTTTTTAACCCTGGGATTTTTGAAAATGAAATTTAATATGAGGTGTAATAATTACCTATATTATATTATGTTGTCATGTATGGT